TTGCATATATATTAACGAGTATAATATCTTCATCTTGTATCACTCCTTTAATCATTATAAAATGTCCTTCTTTATCTTTCTTTATGGGCTTTGTTTTAAAGTCTACTTTGTCGTTCTGACGCTTTTCATATAGAAATATTGAATCTCTTTTTGGTATGTTTTCTTTTAGGTATCAGGAAATTTTTAATTTAAAATTTGTTTTTATTTTATTTTTGTTAGTATATTAGCCCCCTCTTATTCATGAGGGAGCTGTTCCAAGATCCCCAGTGTATGCCTGAAACCACAGATAGTAGCAAACCCTGCACCTACAACTCTTTTTCCTATTCATACATACCTACAATAAAGTTTAATTTATAAATTAAGCACAGTAAGAGATTAGCAACAGTAATAATAAAATAAAACAATTATAACAATATACTGTAACAAAGGTTGCATATATGTGGTCTCTCTTTGTCAAAATATCTTATTTTACAAATTTAATGCCTTTTTCATCTCAACTAAGCACTGAACCATATACTGTGGCCGTAACTTAAGCGGTTTGAGATGTGACAGCAAAAGTAGCATGAATTTCTTTTTCCTTCTTCACAACTTCACAGGTAGAAAATTCATTCTTACCATAGATCTTAGCAACCTCAGCATGTGATTTTTTTTTTCTTATTAAGTTGGGAACTTTCACATTTGCAACATTTGCACTTAAAGGAAACACTTTACAGTTTCTCTTTAGCATATCTGAATTGCCAGCATCACTACCTTTGCAATTGGGAGCCACTATTAGGTAAAATAAGGGTTACCTGAACACAAGCATCAGATACCTTGACAGTCAATCTGATAACCCAGAGGGCTACTGACTAACGGGCAGAATACGCTAGACAAAAGGATGATTCACATCCCGGGCAGGACTGCACGTGATTTCATCACACTGCGCAGAACATTGCACAACTTAAAACTTAAGAACTGTTTATTTCTGGAAATTTCCATTTAATATTTTCAAACCATGGTTAAGAGTGGGTAACCGAGGCCAGGGAAAGTGAAACTGTAAAAAAGGAGGACCACTGTAGTACACAAAAATACAATAAAAAAATACCAGGGATCCTTCGAGAAAAGCTTAATTCTAGAACTGGAGCAAGAAACATACAAGATGAACCTGGAGCAACTAAGAGTGCCAAAAAGTAAGAAAGTTGGGGGAAAAAAAGGCAACATGGATGAAAGTTTGTTAAAAGACACAGGAGCCAACCGAAACAGCTCCCAAAGCTGGGACAGATGGAAAGTAAAGCAGTATTCGACTGACACCTAAGTTCAATCAAATACTCCTAAGTCCATGCTGATGTCAATATAGAGTAGATAAATAAACAAATCAAGGGGAAAAGACAAGTCTCTCATGCAGAAGAATTAAAAATAATTTTGGTAGGACACAGTCCTCAACAAAGGGGAGCATAAACTCCCATCTTTAAGTGTGGGCTACCCATTGTGAACTTCATCCAAAGACATAGAAGTGAGAGTGGGGGTAACTTTACACTGAGTGATGTTTTTCAAATGTCAAACCAATATGTGAATAAACTACTTGTTTGTGATGTATTATCTTTATTATAAGTCACTGGATTAAATTTTCTAAAGATTTTTTTATGATTTTATGATTTTTGATTTCATGAGAGAAGTTGACCTGTAATTTACCTCTCATATTATTTGTCAGGATTTGATATCAAGATATTACTGATCCTGTAAATTAATTTGTGAATTGTTTCCTCTTTTCCTATTCTTTAAAAATGCATGTGTAATAATTGGCATTATTTCTTCTTTAAACTTGCAGAAGGATTGGTCAGTGAAACCATCTAGGTCAAAACATTTCACTGTGCTATGATTTAAATTACAGATTCATTAGTATTAGTATATCTAGGACTATTTATATTTTCTATTTCATCTTTTGTCAGGTTGGGTATATTCTGCATTTTTGTGATTAATTTTATTCCAAATCTTCAATGTTATTGTCATGAAGGAGCTCTATGTCTTCTATGTTCTGGATAGCTAAAGAACCTGTAATGATGTCTTATTTAACTCGTGATGTTGGTTATTTACAACTGCCCTCTTTTTTTATTCATCATACTTGCTAAGAGTTTATCAATTATGGGTTTTTTTTTATTTTTAAGATCCAGTTTGTGGTTGCCATATAACACTTCTAAAATCTAGTTGACCATTCCAAAGAAATATATCCTTTCCCACACCCAGTATCATGGACTTCCCAAGTATTTATATTCAAAAGAGCATTAGAGTTTTAAAAAACACTAAAAAATGAAACAAAATCAAATAAAATCCCCTTTTTAACACTGAGCACTTATATAGAGAGCAATGGAAGGCATTATGATAAGGAATAAAGACAGACAGACAGAAGCTAGTGTGCTTTGATGCAAGAAGTGATGATAACTAGTAAAAAATGCTTTCCTGTAGGTTGTCCAGTGGTCCCTCTGTGCTTCACTTGATATGAGACAGTCTGGTCAGGGAAGTACAAAAATGATGAAGTTCTCATCCCTTGAAGCCAATCAGTAAACTCTGGTAGGGATGATGAGGGACACCCATAAAGTTCCCTGGAAGATCTTAAGAATAAAAAGTTCTCTAACTGGTCTATCCGTGTGGAAGCTGGGAGTACTGGATTGAAACAGATGACTTCTTAAGGCTTCCTCTCGTTTGATTCATTCTTAATACTGAGAATAGAATCTGACTTATAATATTGAGATTTTTTGGATTTATTTAAACACATGTACATTGAATTTCAGTAGTGAAACTGTCTTGAGAAATTCAAAATTCTATTAATGGATTATTGCCCTGTTAGACAAACATATCAAAACGCTATTTTAAAAAAAAGCTCACTGAACATGCTTAGCAGGAATTGGAACTTTTAGTATGTCTTGCATAACCAACATATTTAAAAGCATATATACATATGTACATATATATGCATATATACACATATACATATATGCCCATATGTCCTTCTGTTGAAAATAAAAACTAGTGTTGCTTAGGAATACTTATTTCCTGATAAAGCTACTCATTGACTTCTCTGCCAGATAAATGCAGCTTATAAATTGACACATTTCAGTCCATCTGTATGTACAGCATGTCCCACATCACAATGATAACACAGGCATCTTAACTCTAAATGAGACAAAACAAACATAAAATTAGCACTGGTGGGAACCCACTGCCACTCAATTTGTGTTGGGTTTAACACCTTCTTATTTAATATATCCTTCCACATAAACAGTTTTATATTAGCCCCTGATAACGTGCCTTCCAACAATTCAATGTTGAGCTGTTTAAAAGCACTAATTAGCAGCTTTAATACAGAAGGGAACATATGTATCAGAAAAATCCTGCAAACCCAGAATACCCTTTGGGCCCTGCCATTTGTGTGTGAAATAACTCAATAAAAATATATACTACATTGTTAATCACAAGACCTTCCAGGAATATAATCTATCACAGGAGAAATATAAACTGTATCTTTATAAACAAAAGAAGAAAAATGATAACTTCCATTTAAGCTGAGCTTGGGAAACATCACAATGAGCAGATGCATTTATAAAACTAAGCACACTTCATAATAATGATAAAAAATATTACAACTGTATATACATCCAATTGACATATACACATTACATTCAATTTTAGCACAACTGGCAACACATTTATTAACACTTCATTTATTTCTATCACTTCCAACAGTACCAAAGCCATATATACTTACCTATTAACTTTAACAGAAAATAAAATAAATAATCTTTTAGTACTTTACAGTATTTTAAAAATACAGAAACATATTTGATTTTCAAAGGATTCCAGGAACACATTTTTCTACAATCTGTAATGTTCACATAATCTAATTATTTCTTTTTAAGTAACATTAAAATAACCAGCTATTTATAACTGCAAGGGATGTTTTTTCTTCTCTCCAACTTTCCACATACCTTGATCAGATAGTTCTAGTTAATATTTCTAGTACATGTAAATAATTACATCCTGAGTGCTTTAAAATTACACTAATTCCTATACCATTAAGGAAGGAAAATGTTTCTAGTTTTTGATGCATTATAAGTGGGAGATATTAATTTCTAGATGAAATTATGCATAAGCAGGAGAAAGCTTTGTACTGAGATAACATTTAAACACAAAATGTTAAGTATCTCAGGAATTACAGATGATTAAAGGCAAACAGGACAACACAACCATATTGTATTTGGATTGTGGGACCCGCTCCCGTCTCTGCAATTTTCTACTCCCCAAAGTAAAAAGCATCTTTATATTTTAATATTGTTGAGCTGTCATGATAGTTGGTTTGAACAGTAGCAAACACTCAAAACCAAAGAAATGGCATATTTCAGTAAATATGTATATGCTATGTCATTTAAATGAATTATAAACAGTAGAATAACCTTTTTTGTTTTTATTTGCTAATATTTTATCATTTGCACAAAACTGCCAGAAAGCAATGTCATTTCCAAAGCAAGTTTTGAAAACTTGAAGGAAATTAATTCATATCAAGTTACACATATTATTTACTAGTATAGTACTAATCGCACTTTCCTATTTGGGGTAAATAGCTTTTTAAAACTATAGTGCGATGATGGAATTGCCCCTTTTTAAGTAGAAATTTCCACACAATAGGTAATTTCAATTCTTTCCAGCTTTATCGCACTAGTAGAAACAGATTTCACCAAAGACCTCACATATTTGCTATGAATGTATTTTAATGTATTTTCTCCCAAGGAATAAAGCTGGCTGACACACAAGTTTGTTTCTCCCCTCATATCTGGGTGTTTCATGACGTAGAGTAATGAGTGTCTTACAGTGCGCTTAATGCACTCAGCGTAGAGTATTTCCGGAAGCACACTGAGCACTCCGTTTTGGGGGGCTGCTGCCGGGACACTGGCGAGCCGTTTCACATCGATGACTGGGAGTATGCTCAAAGTCAGCCAAGCCTTTTGGAGACAGATTCTCTGTTCCTGGTGAATATGGAGCCACTCCTCTTTCACCATTTGTGGCAGGTGACACTGTCTCTTAGTAAACCCGTATCTGTCCACCATGATGGAGTTGGGGGACGGCTGTAAGTGTTCAAGACAGGATAGAAGAGAAGACTGCCAGCTCAGCACAGGGCCTGCGATGTTAAATTACGTAATTAGTTTCCTAGGACTGCCACAACAAAGTGCCACAGAGAAAACTACTGTCTCACAGCTCTGGAGGTCAGAAGTCCAGAACAGTCCATAGGGTCCTGCTCCCTCTGCAATCTGTATGGTAGACTCTTTCTTTGTCTCTTCCTCGTTTCTGGTGGTGGCCTTCAATCCTTGGCCTTCCTTGGCTTGCAGCAATGTAACTCCAGTCTCTCCCTCTGAAGTCATAGAGTGGCTTCCCCTGTGTGTCTTCACATCACCCTCCTATAAAGACACTGGCCATATTGGATTAAGAGCCCACTCTACACCAGCAACGGCCTCATCTTTCTTAGTTACATCTTCAACAGCCCTATTTCCAAAGAAAGTTGCATTCTGAGGCCCTTTCGAGACACAATTCAACCCACAGTGATCATTAATCAATAGCAGATGTAAACCTAAATTGGTAGACTCAGGACTAAATTGCCAGCTAGGAAGTTTTTATGGATTATCCCCTCTTCTTGGAGGAGTTCCATGGCCTGGAGTTGGCATCATAGAGGGAGGAAATTTTCTCCTTTAGATGCCAACCAGGTGGAAGAAAAAAGAATAAAGTGGAGAAGCTGGACCACGGTGTATCTACAAATATTTAATATATAATGACTACCTTGTTGGAGGAATTCAGATGTACTGTCAGACAGAAAAAATAGGGAAAGAAACTGCCTCTCTCTTGCCACTGTTAAAGACTCTTTATTCTAAAAATATTTGGAGTATTACTCCATCAGTCCACTAGGAGTGCCCTGCTTTCTGTCAACTCTACACTTGGGGGGAGGCGGGGTCACTAATCTCCAGCCATTGACATCCTCCAATTCACCAATGGAGAAACTACCATTTTTTCAAAAATAGTAAAAGAAAAGAAAAAACAAACAAAAAAAAACCCAACCATTTTTAAATAGTAAAAACAAAAAAGAAGCTACCATTTTAAAAAATTATTTTAAAAAAATGAAGAAAGGTTTCAAAAACAATGAGTGTGGGGGAGTAGATTTGCATTACCTCCCACTTCAGCCATTGTCTTCAAAGTCCTTTCTGCAGAGTATTAAATGGTGTTTGGCTTTTTCCCTGTTTTGTTTTCCTCTTTTTGGAGGGGAGGAGAAGTCAATGAGATTTCTGAAAAGGCTCAGAACAGAGAGGTCACTTTCGAACAAATGACATGGACAGCAAGATAAATTTACATTTTTCAGGCCTCGTGGAAAACAAGGCCAGCTTTGTCTAGGATTCACTGAGAAGTCATTGAAGGTAAGCGCCGGCTGCCCACTGGTCAGGATGGAGTAAAACCCGGAGAAACACGAGCTGAGGAGAGTTGATGTGTAACTGTGGGTAGATCATCCCCAACTTCCCACAAAGGCCTTTCATTTCCATCTGGAAAGAGTATATGATAACCCAGACAGGCCAGCCCCTCCATCACCAAGCAAAACTCTTGACATTTGCCTAATTATATTTTCTCATCATCCGTCATTTCTTGAAGCCTCGGCTTCATTCATATGCCAGGTATTTCCGAAATTAATCATGTCATTGAAAGCGGCATCTTTTCATGTAAATGGATTTTATTATCTGGATCAGAAAGCTCCCCCTTTGAGCAACGAAAGCCATTTGTAGGGAGAGTGTCTGAAATCTGACATGTTGCCTTCCCAAGAAAGATTCTTCGTGCTGACCTCCCAGCAAGCAGCAAGCATCCGTCACTGTGAGCTTGTGAGTGAGTGAGTGAGAGAGTGTGAGAGAGAGAGAGTGTGTGTGTGTGTGTGTGTGCGCGCATGCAGCTAAGAGCCTGAGGCTGGCTGCATGCTAATTTGCCCCATTGTTTCAGGGTGACTGCCTTTCCAGTATTTAGGAACAAAGCCTTTTTGCATAAGCCCGTACGTACAATCATTTTATCTTTACTTGGAAGCCCATCATCCTATCTTCATTGCAACTGTATTGGAGGATGTGCCAGAGCTCCTTTGTCCCCTTGTAAGGCTGTAGATTACAGACAGGGTTTAGCAGGATACCAGGACACTCCTCTTTCATTTGAAGGCATTTTACAAATGCTTGAGCACCCTGGACTGCAGCAACACATCAACACGTGGCTTTGCTCAGCCTCTCTGAATTCAGAAAGGGGAGGACGAAAATCCCTCTAAGAGCTCCGTCAAGTTCCATCAAATTCAATTTTCAGGTGTACAATGTTTGGTCCATAAAGGATGGGGACATGAGGAATGGAAAGCAAGAAATTCCCCACCCACCAAGGTGTGACAGGGTCTCTAAAAGGGTTACATAGCTTCACAGCACTGGCTGGGATGTTACCTAATTAGCAAGTAGGAGTGCCTAATGATAAGCCAAGTCCAGCGTCCAGTAACACACTGCCAGTGAGCTACCACCCGGTCTCATGTGTATAAGGACACGTGGGGAAAGTTCTTTCTACATCTCAGACTCATTTGTCTTTTGTTCTGTGCTTTAACAACTCGGTGTTAATGATAGGGTATTTTTCCTCTGGGAGGAGTACAGAAGAGTACTATTAATTACCTGCCACCCTCCCTCTTTTGTGGAAATAAAATTAATGTTGTGACATAAACTGACAAAAACCAGGAAATTAAAAGTTAAGGCTGAGATTCCTTGGTGATATTTTTCCTTTTTTTGGTCATTGCAAAATGAATATAGTGAGGAAAATTTGTTGGAGGAAAGACTCGATCACGGAGTTCATCAGGAAAGAGGGAAAAAAAATTGTTAAAAATCTCTTTTGCTCTCTTCAATGCCAGCTGAGAGCTGGTTCTAAGAGTATCCCACTTTCTCTTACCTACTTCCTTTCCCTAAACCTGAAGACCTTCGTAAATCAAGGGAAAACAAAAACCTCCTCTTGGTTGTCTTCAAAACAGCTAACTAATACTTTTTTCATTCTTTTAAACAGACACACACTCAAGAAAATCAAGTGTCCTAAATCACAACTGGTAGAAAGTGCAGATGGTCTGGGAATTTGGAAAGAGAATTTTGGAGCATTCCATCATAACCAAAGTCCTACAGGAAAAACAAATACAAAAATCAACTTCTGAGAGGCCATATTTAAGAAAGACCTCAACCCCTCCATTCTTTCATAGCATTTGAAGATTAGCCAAAGGGGAGAAAAGGGAGTGTAAATTCAAGGAATGAAGCTCTCGGCTGTAGGCCAGAAACTCTGCACATTCATCTTCCCCCCTCTGCTGAGAAGAATGTTTCTGGAGAAGAAGTTCCAAGAGGGGCCTGTATTTCTAAGAACTTTCCTGAACTTTACCTTCCTCTTTGCATCTGCCTTCAGTGGTGTCAATCTTGGGTGGCTCTCATCTTTTAGTTTCACTGTTACAAATACAAATGGCTTATTCTGGTGCATAGGAATGCCCTATTTTGTCGTCTTTTCTATTTGGATATATCACTTCCATTCCTTTTTTTTAATTGAAGTATAGCTGCTTTACAATGTTGTGATGTTGTGTTAGTTTCTGGCGAACAGCATAGTGATTCAGTTATACATATGTATCTTCTTTTTCAGATTCTTTTCCATTATAGGTTATCACAAGAGACTGATTACGGGTCCCTGTTCTATACAGTAGGTCCTTGTTGTTTTACCTATTTTCCACTCTGTCTTACTTTGCCAAACACCACCACCTCTTGGGTCACTCATGATTTCCACACCTATCTGCATGTAACATATCAGGAAGTTGTTAAATTTCATATGGAATTGTTAATCACAATTATTAGATTATAAGTTTCTTGAAGGCAGGCTTCCCAAATACAATGACAATTCTTGATGAAATCAAAAGGCCATACATCTCAAAAATGTTCTCCTA